GGGCTTCTTGAGGGTGAATTCATGGAAGGTGACTGGCCTGGATGGCGTCCCCGGGTGTGTACTCGGATCCTGCACAGATCAGCTGGTGGGAGTATTTGTAGACATCTTTAACCTCTGAATACAATGTGAGGTTCCCACCTGCTCCAAGAAGGCCACTATCCTACCGCTGCCAAAGAAAGATCAGACAATGTACCTTAATGACTACTGCCTGTTAGCTCTGACATCCATCATTATTAAGTGCTTCGAGAGGTTCGTAATGGCACACATCAACTCCAGCCTCCCAGATTGCCTTGATCACTACAATTCTTCTACCGTCACAATAGGTCCCACAATAGACACCATCTCTCTGGCCCCACACTCATCCCTTGAACATTTGGATAATGAGGATACCTGCGTCAAACACCTATTTATTGACTGTATCTCTACCTTCAACACCATAATTTCAACAAAATTCATCTCCAGACTGGAAGACGTAGGACACTGCTCCCCCCTCTCAACTGAATCCTTGACTTCTTGAACTGTAGACCACGATTCATAGGGATAGGTGTTACAGAGCGGAGATTGAACCTCTCTGATAATCAAAACTGAAGCACCCAGAGAAGCTTAATAAGAACCGAAAGAACTGCGGATGCTGTAAATCAAGAACAAAACAAAGTTGCTGGAAAAGCTCAGCAGGTCTGGCAGCATCTGTGAAGGAAAAAACAGAGTTAACATTTCGGGTCCGGTGACCCTTTCTCAGAACTCTGCACCCAAAGAAGCCTGCCTTGTCGCGTAATCTACTAAAGGAAATGGGAAAAATGGTATAACCTGTCTTTCACCTCCCAATCTGTTTGAAGGAGAGCTTAAACGAAGCAAATCCCTGATAATCACTTTATAAGCAACAAGTAACAACTTATTTATCTAACAGGAATACAGAGTACTGGGCTAATGGTAAGATTCTTGGTAGTGTGGATGAGCAGAAAGATCTCGGTGTCCATGTGCATAGATCACTGAAAGTTGCCACCCAGGTTGATAGCGTTGTTAAGAAGGCGTACAGTATGTTAGGTTTTATTGGTAGAGGGATTGAGTTTCGGAGCCATGAGGTCATGTTGCAGCTGTACAAAACTCTGGTGCGGCCGCAGTTGGAGTATTGCGTACAGTTCTGGTCACCGCATTATAGGAAGGATGTGGAAGCATTGGAAAGGGTGCAGA